TGGTAGGTTTAAATATTTTCGGTTTTGGCACGGAATTGGGACGGCAAAAACCGAGTCAAAAGGGTTTCCAGAATACTCGAATGGTTTCTCGGTGTTGGAACGGATATTCTTTGAACCAATATCTGTGACAAGGTTTGAAATGAACGGTTGTTCAGTTTTCGGTGTTGTCACGACAATTTGCGCCGCCAAATTCCGTGCCAACGCCACGAAATTCAAATTGTTAGCCGCCAATCGAATATTTGGCTGTACTCTGGCAGGGATATAACCGTGCCAAACTGTCTAGCAGTCTGAACGTCCTGACATGTCAGACGTTGACTGTCAGAGACCATTTGTGACGGTTTAGGGACGGAAATGGACGTGCCAAATTCAAATTATGGGCGGTTCCGTCTATAGGCACGACGTTATCCCTGCCCAAATCCGTTCCAAGTTTATTGAACATATCTATAAATAACTAATTTGAGCATTCTTGTCTACACACTTGAAAGAAAAATTGTTTAAAGTTTCAAAAATATCAAAGCAATGGAAAAGTCCGAGAATTTAGCTGAAAAAAACAGATATTTCTGGTGAAAAAAAAAACACTGGGAGTTCAGGTGTGAAAAAACCCGACAAATGGGATTTGCTGGGGCAAAGAATTGATTATATGAGAGAAACGATGCAGTATATGATGCCTGTTAATGATGCAGCTAAAGCAAAAATAAATAAACTAGTGGAAAAATGCAGTGCTGCAGAAGTGCAAAGTGAAGATGATGATAACAAATCAGTTTGAAGTTAGATATTGTAAAAAAGACTTAGTTTATTAAGTCTTTTATCTCGCTTGTTGTTGATTTCATTTAACTCTATGTTTCTCGTTTACGTAATTGATGTATGTTCGTTGCCAATGTAATAAAATGTTGGCATTTAGTAGTTGATTTGTTGGTTTTTTTAATCGTTTGATTTGTTGGTAATAATAATAATAATAATAATAATAATAATAATAATAATAATAAAATAATAAATAGGATTCATACTTAATTTATTGTTTGAAGGGAATAGTTAAAATGAGATACAACAACAACACCTACAAATTAAATAAAAATACAGATTAAAAGGCAATAATAATGTTCATTCATCTGAGTCAGGATCTGAGTCAGGATTGTCCATGTACTCTTCATCATCAGTGTCCTCCGACTGAAAGTTCCAATCGTCTTCTTCAGGATTCTCCATGTACTCTTCATCATCAGGACCCCCCTTCATAGCTTCAAATGGAAGATGGATTAGTAAATGTTCCATTACATCAAAAAAGGATGGAGGAAAGTCCTTTTCTAGATTACACATAATAATGGGAGCTTTACGGTGAAGTTCCTCCAAAGCAGTTCGGCTTAATACAGACGAGCACGAGCATATTAACTGAAACAATTGACAAACATCACTAATGCACGCACATACATTATCCGAAACATTTTCCCTCATAGCAACAACAAGTAATCGTTGCATGAGGATCAAGAAACTTGGCATTTTTACACTTTGTACACGGACATCTTATTTTATTTCCATCCGTGTATTTTGTTTGCCTTTGTGTAAAATTAATAAATTCAGCAACTCCATCGGTAAACTCTTTAGTCAATCCTCTATCATTTTCTTTATGTCGTCTATACATCCAACTTCTACTTTCTCTATTCATTGGTCCTGAATATGTAAAATAAATTAATTAATATTTATTTATTCTTATTAAAAGTACATGCTAGTAAGTAAATTTTTAAAACTCATCACACCAATTTTATTGGTATAAGGCAAATAATGACAATAATTACAATTCAAGACATGAAATATATATTGATCTATTGAAATTGATTAATAAAACGAATAAAATTGCATACCTTGTAACCGGAACATAATTCTTTTAAGAAATCCAAATATAAATATTCCACGTAGCTAACACATAATGAGACCACATTCCTTTGTGTCCAAAACTCAGCACTAAGAATGTGCAAGGATTTATGTTGTAATTTGGCTCGGATTTTGGCACGGAAAATATAATTGGATACAAAATGGCTCTCTTTTGGCACGAATTTTGGAACGGAAAAATCCGTCGATCGAACCGTTTGAAAATCTTCCCCGGAATACACAACGGTCACCTTTTGGCTCGGAATTTGACACGGATATATCGTAACGGTTATCTTTTGGCACGGATTTTGGCACGAAAAAATCCGTCGATCGAACCGTTTGAAAATCTTCCCTGGAATACACAACGGTCACCTTTTGGCTCGGAATTTGACACGGATATATCGTAACAGTTATCTTTTGGCACAGACAACATGTTTGAGCCAAAATCCCAAAAAAAATTGTATTAAAAACTTTGGCACGGATTTTGGCACAACTCCTTTGCCTCGGATATTGGCACGTATCTTCATCAATGCAACATGTTCATGTTGGCACGGAAATGGTCGTCCCAGTTGGCACAGAGTTAGGTTGGGATGGTTTTGGCTCGGATATATTTGAGTCAAACACTGAAAGTACAAAATGATGTTGGATCGGATTCGTATCCGTGCCACTTTGGAACGACATTTGGATAAAATTGTCGAGAAGCCAAAATTTCTGTTTTTTTTACGATTTTGGATCGGATGTTCCGTGCCAAACTGTTGGCACGGATACATCCGTTCCAAACTGGATACGGTTTATATGTATTAGTTATCCGAGCCAAATGTCGAGCCAAATTTGGCAGGGTATTTATCCGAGCCAAAATCCCTGCTGATACCGAGTTTTTTTAGTAGTGTATACATATAGGCGACTAGTCACCTAATTGTTGCCTAGACGGGTGCCTTGTCGCCTAGGCGATATGGCGGTCAACTGGCGCCGTGACTCGACTTACCGCCGTGACAAGCATGCTTACAGACAAGCAGAAGCTGCTGTTGTCGTTGCACCAGTCGTCGTCGTTAGGCATCCTCCTCTTCCTCTTTCTGCCCGATTTCAGTTAAGGCAATAACGGCGATGAGAACCACATATGAAGAAAAGGCCACGAGCTTCAATCATCGACAAGTATGTTTTGCGGCTGGCAGGGTTGTGACTAAGATTTGAGGATGTGGTGGTAGGGTTCAAAGCTGCGACGACTTCAGGTAGCAAGGGTTAAGGAGTCGACAACGGATACTATGGTTGCAGGTTACACATCGGTGGCAGCCGCATTTGGGTCTGGTGATGCATGGTGCTCGGTAGTGGTGTGGTCACTTTGCCAGAGTTATCGTGTCATTGTGGCCGGAGTAATTATGTCATTATGTTGATGTCCCTTTGTCACTGTGGCTAGAATCACTATCAATGTGGACGATGGTGATCACTTTGGCGGAGGGTCACTATGTCGGTGGACAATGTGGTGGGTCATGACTATCAAATAAAGTTATTGGAAACTAGGGATAATTTAGAAAGTTTAATGCTTATTTGTCACATTTTTGAAAATTTTAAAAAACCGCTCTTTTGTTCATTATCCAATTTTTAATAATATTCAAGTCAAAACCTTTAATAATAGGAACCAATTCGTAGAAAATTAAAAATATGTTATGTTAGGATCGGAATTAGATAGTCCAATTAGGATATTTTTACTTGGACTGAAATTTTCTGGTCTAATCTGATTTGATTTGTCCTGATCTGATTTGGTTTCGTATAGTAAATGTTTAGATTTTTGTGTATTTTACAACTATCGAAATCTAGTATGGTCTGATTTGGTCTTATATGGTCTGTTCAGAGAATAAAATGAGTCTAACTAAAAACATTCTTATTTCAATTTTAGCTAAAACAAGAACGTATTCGGTTATTTATTAGTTTCCATTTCTGATTCTACATTAGAATGGTTGCAGCCCAGGTAGTTTCACGGAACTTGATGTTATAGTTTACTATTCCAATTATGTGCTTCCTCCATTCTTTTTTATTTAGAATATATTAAATTTTGTACCATTAAGGTGTTCTACTTTGATTATATTTTATTTATCATTAGAATATTATAAATATAATTTTTAAAAAATATTATTAAATTTCTCTCATTTTAAAAATCTGATTTTTTAAATTTTTACTCGTAAGGAAAGAAATGTGTTAATGGTTGAAGTTGTGCGTTGATAAATGTAAAAATGGAAACGATTGTAATTCAAAAAGAAGGGAGGAAATATGTGGTATAACTTTAAAAGTAAATGATCTATTATGTCTTACTACCTACGTCCAAAAATATTTAGCCAAATTCAAAACTTTGGCAATTATACATGTAGTATATTATATCGGAAATTATTTATAATATAAAAATGATATGAATATGTTATTTGTTAAAATTATTTTCATAAAAGTATAAAATTTATCTTTCACAGTGTTATACTAATCAAAACCATGATCCAAATTTTAGGATTTGACTAAGTATTTCAGGACAGAGTAGTATCATATTGATGAGTAGGGATTAAGTTCTCCCTAATTTCTCATTAGATCTTTAATTAATAAGTCATTAAAAAGATGTAATGTATGTTATTACGACGGTCTCCCTTTCATGTGTCATTTACTATTAATAAGACCCTTTGGTGGTGAGATGAGGTGTGAGGTGCAAGCTAACCCTTTGGAATATATAGGGTATGTTTGGCACGACCAGCTGACAAGATACTTTTGTGAGTTTTTTAGTAACTGTTAGCTTTTAGTGACTGAAAAGATCTTAAAAAAAAGGTGATAGTTGCGCTGGTTGGTAAAAGGTCGACTTTTTGATATAGTTCTGTTTGGTATACAAACTGTTAGGACAAATTAATACTAAAAGTCACGGTCTTTTCTCAGATGTTACTCCGATCCGCGTAGCATCTTAAAAAATATATTTTATTTTTTGAAAAGTTCTTAAAATTTTTCATGCCAAACATACAATTGAAAGCTTTTAAAGACTTTTTAAACAGTACGAAAGCTAGAAGGCAGAGACTTATGTCTACCAAACATGCACATAATCTTCTTATGAGGCTTTTATATTGGGTTGTCCATACCTCATTTTTGCTGATACAAAATTGGGATATGCTATTTTGTATTCCAAAATTTTATAACACCTTCACAAATTTTTGTTTAATGCTGACACAAATATCATATATGTATGACATATATGAAATATATTAACTTATTAAGTGTTGCGTTTTTGGAAATAAAACACTCATTTTTCTCTCTTTTTTACGCTCGTCTTTCTCATTTATCTCTATATATATTACGTTTTTATTGACAATTTATGCAGTGGAGGACCTAAGGGGGGCTAGAGGGGGGCATGTGCTCCCGCTTCGGGTCCGTTTTTTTTGGATGAAATGTAAATTTGTAGCGCAAAAGGCTGCTCGAACTGCTTTTCCCTTCAACTTTGACCCCTTATGCTCCTTCAAGATCCATTTGACGGAGCTAGACATTGTAGTCATCTGATGCGTCATTCCTAACCAATTCTTGATTTGCTCTCATATCCTACAAGTGAAAGGGCAAGCAAAGAAAATGTGTGGCATTGTCTCCAAGCCACCCTTGCAAAGATCACATCTGCTTACAATATGCAAGTATTCAAGGTTATCCTGAGTAGGTAACATATTACGGAAAGCAAGCCATACATTAAAAGAGAACTTGGGAGGGATATATGATTTCCAAATAAAGCTCATCCATACCCTAACCGTCCCTTTTGTTCTCAATAACTCATAAATTTTTCTTGAAATCAACTTGTCATTGATGGATCTAGAGGCTAAACCCATTATGGTATCATTTTGGTTATTAAAATTCCCTTTAGTTTTGTCCCTTATTTCTGCCAAACTCTTCATGAAATTCGAATCTCAGCTGTGTGGGATGAAGTCCCACACACTTTTACCATTGAGGTAAACGTCGTTGACCCATTTCACCCAAAGGGTGTCCTTTTTAAGATGAACATCCCAAAGCGTTTGGGACAGAAGGGCTTGATTCCACACCCTAGCATTTCGTATGCCAAGTCCCCCTTCCTCTTTGGGAAGGCATATATAATCCCATGCCACTTTGGCATATTTCCCTCCCCAAAGAAAAACTCTACAAATGGAAACGATGCGGTCCAGAATAGTCCGCGGCACGGGAAAGACTTGTAGCCAAAAAGATTGGACCCCTTGGATCACCGATCTTATTAACTCAACCTTCCCGGCATATGTAATGGATTTCGTATTCCAAGCGTTTAAAAAGTCTAAAATCGTGTCAAGTAGCGGGCATATTGCGCCACTGAGACCTTGAGTGGGGCAAGGGGAATTCCAAGGTACTTGACCGGAAATTCACCCTGCCCGAAATCAACAATGTCCAAAATGCTTTGTAAATCAATCTCATTAACACCCCCAACAAAAATGTTCGATTTGTTAATTCACCCTTAGGCCCGTTGCATCCCCAAAATCTTGTAGGGTTTTGACAAGTATTTCAATGGAAGCCTTATCGCCCCTAGAGAATAATATTAGATCATCCGCATAGGCCAAGTGTGATATATTAAGAGAAGCACATTTCGGGTGAAAATTAAAATTCGGTTCCTTGGTTTTCAAATTAAGAAGTCGGGAAAAGTATTCAAGACAAAGTACAAACAAGAGAGGAGACATTGGATCTCCTTGTCCTGTGCCCCTTTTTCCTTCAAAAAACCCATATAACGACCCATTTAAAGAAACTGAAAATGAGGTCGATGTCACACACTCCATAATCCAATCAATGAATCTCAAAGGGAAGCCCAAACCCTTGAGAACCGATTCAAGAAAATCCCATGAGATAGTATCATAGGCCTTTCGAAAATCCACCTTAATCATACATCTCGGTGAGATTTGCTTCCTCGTATATCCTCTAACAAGTTCCTGGGCTAGGAAAATGTTATAAATCATGAGGCGGCCATCCACAAAGGCACCTTGGGCATGGTCAATTAATCCCGAAAGACATGGGATCAATCTAGCCGCAAGTACCTTAGTGATGATCTTATATAACACATTTGTACACGATATGGGTCTATAGTCGGAGACCTTTGGGGAGTGATTCGTTTTAGGGATAAGGGCTATCACAGTATGATTGATCTGTTTTAGCAACTTTCTCGAACGAAAGAACTCCTTAATAGCCAGGACTATGTCATTCCCAATCACATCCCAATTGGCCTTAAAGAAGGCCGATGAGTAGCCATCCGATCCCGGAGCCTTATCATTGCCAAAATCAAATAGGGAATTTTTTATGTCCAACGTGGTAACCGGGGCAATAAGGCTCGCATGAGCACTTGGCTCAATTAGTGGACCCGAGGGTAGAACCGAGGGGTCCAGGGCATGACATTCACTATGTGTTTCAAATAATTCAACAAAGAAGTTAGCAAATTCATTTCCAACTTGATCCAGAGAGGTAGTAAGCGTACCATCCTCCAAGGTAAGTAAAGATATAGTATTCCTTGCCAAATTCCTTTTAACGATTGCGTGGAAATATTTAGTGCACTTGTCCGCTTCGAGAATATGCGTTGCCTTAGCCCTTTGTTGGAAAAAGGTTGCTTCGGCTTCTCCAAGAAAAACAGCCCTCTTTGAAGCTTCGGACAGTTGGGCCTTAAGTTCTAGATCCCCGGGATCTTGAAGCGTCAACTTATGCAATCGCTTAAATTCCTCCTTTGCCATCTTTGCTTTATTAGATATATGTGGCCAAACTCCATGGCATTCAATGACTTAAGGGGCCTTTTGAGTCCCTTTAGCCTTTTTACCAACGAAAATTGAGCCATTCCAACATAATTCTGGCTCCAATGTGTGGCTAAGATATTTGAAAAATCCCGATGTTTTAACCACATATTAAAAAATTTAAACGGCTTGGGTCTAGAAGAGGAGTTTAGGAGTATTGACACAACGGAGGCCGTGTGTCAAACTCTACCTCCATTTCGTGGAAATGGACCCTACATCCGATGCCATTAAGCCCCCATCCATCATTAATTAATACTCAATCGAGTTTAGCCCAAGTGCACTTTTATTCCATGTAAAGAACTCCCCAGTGGAGGGTGCATCTTCAAGGCTGTTTGCAATTTTAAAGTCAAATAAATGTTGCATTACATGCACCGTCGGGGGGGGGGGGGGGGGGGGGGGGTAGGACCCACCCTTTCATTAGGCGCAGCAATGCAATTAAAACCACCACATACTATCCACGATTCAACCAATTGGTCTCCAACCAAGGTCAAATGATCCCAAAGGGCCTTCCTCTCAAGCACCGTATATAACGGATAAACAAATGTAGCAAAAAAGGGGTTTGCGTAATACGAAAAACGCACTTAGCATGAAAAAATTATCTATCTTTTTCTAAAAATACACAATTTATTAGATTAGGGTTCCACATGATAGCCATGCGTCCCCCGCCAATTAATTCGAAATTATTTTCAAAAGTCCAACCCGGCCATTTATTTAAAACATAGTTATTAAAAGCGGCCAAGGTCATTTTAGTTTCCAAAATCCAACTAAGCAAATATTATTCAATTTAATATAAGAAGCGATTAAATTATGTTTAGAGGTCTTATTTAAACCTCTAACATTCCACATCATGATCCGCGGCATCAAGAGAGGTAAAGATCCGTGGTGGGTCCTCCACCTTCAGTAGCCTTCTTCCTTGCACTCCTACGCTCCCTCCTTAAAAGCTACTTATAGTAGTTGACGTTGTTCTTGCTACAAGGATCAAAGAAGGATAATACGTTAGCAATAAAAATATTAGGGTCGAAATCATACCATGTGGAGTTACGTTTGACCCCTGGTAGCTTAATGATGCCACTATGCGTGAAGTAGATCCCTGGAGAGTCCTCGCTTGTAACCGGTTTGAGATCAGGACCAACTTTTATCAACGTATCCCCATCCGAGAGCTCATCTGGATCTATGATAGTAGCAAGCGTTCTTTTCTTTTCATCCAAGAAGACGCCAGTGACAATGTCCTTGGAGCCCATCTCATACACGCTTCTAATAACAAAGCCCCGCGGCATCCTCTCCAAAGCCTCCTTGCCATCCTTATCCTTAGTAATCACCATAAGGTCATGATGTTCCTTTGAAAATTTAACAGTAGGGCTCGGCTTTACCCCCAAAGATGGAGTGAGTAGATTCTTTGGAATACAAATCCCATTATTAGTCACCAATGGCTTAGGTTGGGGGCCCTTAGCAAAAGACGTTGAAGCAACATCTTTTACCTCTTGCGGTTTCACCTTGGCCTTTCTCTTGTTTCGGATAACTTCTTTAAAAGGCGGTTCAACCTCAACGGCTATGTCCTTCCCTTTGTCCAGCGTGGCATCCTTCCCTTTGTCTTGCACCACGACATTCACCCCATTTCCCTTAGGCGTGGCATTCGCCCCATTGCCCTTAGGCGTGGCAGCCTTGTTGCTTACCAAATGCGGGTTGAGAAACTTACCATCAAAGGGGTGATGGCCATATGCCTTGCAATGATAACAATACTCCGGGTACATCTTATATAAAACTCTTTGAACATATTCCTTGCCCGAGGGAGGAATAATAGGAAAATTAAGGACCGGGGGCTTAGAGACATCCACTTCAATGAGAACACGAGCATATTTTGTAAAAGTCTTTTCTTGGGTGACCTTATTGGTAGTGATAGGTATCCCAATTTGGGAAGCAATTTTCCCAATCTCCGTAGCACACCATAGCCTCAAATGTAAATTTGGGAATTTCACCCAAATAGGCACTCTCAAAAACTCTTCACTCTCAAAGGAGAGAAATCATCGGATAGTGTTTTGAGGAACATGGTTTTCCCATAGAGGACATAAGGGCCCTCGGTGAGTACCTTAACCCGGTCCTCCTCACTCTTGAATTTGAAAATAACCCATCCTTTGCTATGAGTTTTGATATCAACTTGGACACCCCATTTCTTCCTCATGGCAAATATAGCTTTTAAGCCCGGAAACCTACCGGAGAAGTGTCCAACCAAACAATAACCCCATATCTCAATAAGGGTTGGTACCCTAAGATGAGAGAACTCAAGTTTTTCCCCGGTAGGAGGAAAGTATTCGAGCTTGAGTCCATTGGAAGGAGCTCGATTATCTCTAAAAAGGGATGCAAAGTGTCTAGGCTCTTCTTCAAATATATCATCCTCCTTCAATGAATTAGTGTCTTGGGATCCAAGGGATATAGACCCTTCGGGTTCATCATTACCATGAAGACTGTTCTCATCGGAGGTTTCAATAATAGGGGCATCCCTATCCACCACTGGTTTGAGAGCAAGTGAGATTTCTGCAGATGCCGCGGCATTAGACGAGTTGGAGTCCAACCCCAGAAGCTTAACTGCAAAGGTACCCTGTGATGCTGCAGTGCTGGCTGATGCCGCGGCGTTCATGCCTTGCCCCCCTTTAGCCACAGATGCCGCGACATTGATTGACCTAGGTGAATGTGTTGCCGCGGCAAATGCACCAGCATAATTTGAGAAGATGGGATCCGAGGAAGGGGTAACCTCCTTCATGGGAGCCTTCTTTTTCAATTTCTCCTCTTCCAACGCAGCTTTCTTGGCCAAGAGGTACTTGACTTTGTCATCAAACTGTTTTTCCTTGACCGGTGGGGTCCGGTGTTGCTTGTTCTTCTTAGTCATGGCTGGAGCTCAACGAAGAAGACGATGAACAGTAGCATCCACGAACCAAAGTGCATAGAAAATTCTGAAAATAATATATGTTGATCCCCAGATGCTGGCGATCCCCAATATGTGCTTCGTTCTGTCCCAGTCCCTACAAAACTGAAGAAAAAATAAGCAAACTAATACATACCTGCACATAGAATGAACACTTGCATGAATAGTGCTTTGGCTCTTCAATTCTTCGTTGTAGGAACTGAAACTAGTATGAAAATGATCGTCTTGAGCAGGTGAACCCCAGACAATGCTCAGAATTTGATTTGAACGACGGAGTTTGGAGAAATCTGCAGTCAAAGCTCCACCGTGTACAGTTGACCGCTGTAACGGCTAGTTAGGAACTCCGGTACGGCGGACCTCCCGACGGCCGGAAAATAGTTGGAAAGGTGCGCCAAGGGATGGCGACCCCCAAACAACCTTCCTTAGCCACAAACAATCGTCCACAAATTGATTAAAAATAAAAAACGAATCTGCAGTGAACAGTGATATCTGCGAATTGGGAACTTCAAAAAACAGGTTCTGGGGCTTAAAAATTCAGAATCTTTCCAATCCAAACGATGAATAAGAATGAAAAGTGAATTCCGAGCTTGGGAAACCTATTTTATTGAATATTGATCGAGTAAAGTGTTCGAGCAACCTGGGAAAATTTCGACCGTTGGTGCGAAATATTCCTAGAGAGAAGGCAGAGGTTTCTCAACGCGAACACCGAGAGCTCTAAGTAGCACTTAGGGTCCGTAAATTCACTAGTTACACTTAGGTAAAAGTTAGTACCCCGCTTCGGGTCCGTAAATTCACTAGTAGCACATAGGTAAAAGTCAGTGCCCCCGCTTCGGATCCGAAGTTTTTCTATAGACTAAGTTTAGTGTCTAGTGTGTTTCCGCTCTCACAAATCTCTGGGTTCGCCATTGAATTTATGTGTAGTCAATTTGCACCTGTGATACAAGGTTATGGAATATTTGCACCGAAAATATTCCATATTCATTAGAGGTAACCTTATTGATATGCTTAGTCTTTCATAAATCTTGAGATAATTTAATGCAAATTTTCCAACTTAACATTTTTTTTACAGCAAGTTTCAAATAAAGCAATGAAGGAGTATATATTCAATTATAGTAATTCGCGCATAACGCTATCTAGCTTGTGCCATACCATATTTTAGCACATATATAAATATAATGCATCTTTTGTTCGGTTTGTTTCTTTTTTAAGACACTAATTATTGTGAAATGAATGAAGCGATTAATTAATGGCTTTCCTCCACAAAGAAAGAATCAAATAGTGGGGGGCCAATAAATTTTGAAGTTTGATGATAACAAGATAGTGGATGTATGGCTACAAATATGATGGATATATTAGAGATAATAACATTAATAAAAGCCGGTGACCTAATCATGGACTACCAAACAAAACTCATTAATTAAACACTAAAAGCAAATGCTGATGTGGATCCCTGTTGACAAACGATAACACAAGTTCGTTTGATAAAATTTTCTGATTGAATTAATTGAATCTTTTTAATTATAGAGAAATGATGTTTAAAATATGTTTGTAAACAAATAAAAAATATATATATGAAAATAACTAAAATGATCATCTATAATAACTTATATCAATTCAGTCAGAAAAGTGATTATTCTTATTATTACCTAATTCATGAGCTAAAACATTGACCGATAAATCTCATGAGCTAAAAGTGAGTTACCAAAAAGACTCTACGTTACATAAAAGCTGCTAGCGCTTTTAATTTAAACTACCTTTTTCGTGCATCAACCAAATTTAATGTGGAAATGTCACATTTTTACCACATTTTATAATTGTACTCTTTGCTTTAGCGAGCTGTATCATGTGATCCTGAGGGTTTTGGATATGATTTTTAAAACTGCTTTTGCTACTTCAGAGAGCAGAAGTTGGAGTGTTTGAGTGAAAGTGCAGAAGTGATTCTGGTGCTCTAATTTACTCCTAGAATCAATACTTTTAGAAGCTGGGTTGAACCAGCTTCTGAAAACTGATTCTGATTCTTCTTTTAAAAAGAAGCAGAAGCAGAATCAGTTCCAAACACCACCTGAAAAGAGTTTTTCGATCATTTAACTGTACCCAACAGGCAACAACTAATCTCATGATGCAATGAAATTAAAGAAGCTGCATAGCCTTTACAAATCGTTGCCAGATTTCATGATCTAATAATATATGATTATATGGACTTAAACATGACCATGGATTCATATTAGTGAAATCACGTTATCTACTTATCCTTAATTTGACCTGTTAACTTCTCTAACTTAATTTTTATTATTGTTCTTTTTATTGTCAACGAGTAGTTTGAATCCGCCATTAAGTTTGATCAAATCAAACTTAAACAAACCAGATTTTAATATACAAGAATATATGGCAAATATTCTTGAACTTTAATATATTGAACTTAAAGAAACTAGATTTTAAGTATTTATTTAAAATTGATCGCAATTAACAATATATGAGAATATCAGATTCAATATCTAAATATGAATCTTCTTATTCTTCATTTACAATTTGAAATAAAAATAATTACAAATTTAATTCAAAATTATATCTTTAATTCTTCAAATATTCGAACGTTCTTCAGATCTTCGAATCTTCATTCTTGAGATCTTTGAATCTTCAAATCTTCATTCTTCGAATATTTCACTACAAGAAAAAGCACGATTTGCAATGGAAGAGTGCAACAAACTAAATTGTGTTGCAAAAGTGCAATGAAAATTGCAACGGAATGTTAAAACGTTGCAATATTGCAACCGCTACTGCTACGGAAAAAAATGTCATTGCAAAAGCAACGGAAATTTGGAGGGAAAATAAATTACAACAAATTTTGCAATGGCTCGTTATTTCCGTTGCAAAAATTGCAACAAAAATAGCAATAGACTATTATTTAGTTGCATAGTTCCAAATTTGCAACAAAATTGCAATACAAATATCACCTATTGCAAATATTTATTTGCAACGATGATGCCTAGCAACAACAATTTGCAAGAGAGCAACTCTGATAACTTTCTGATTGGAGCTGACTTTTAATGTTTTTATGAACTTGTGTAGCCATTAAATTCTTGTTATGATTTTTAACACCGTGGTATATTACTGAGATATTTTTATTATTATTTAAGGGTAATGATATATATATACATAGAGGAACAGCTTTTTGTTGTGATTGGAGCTGATTATATTAGGTAATGACGAAGTTAAACAGGAGTAGCTGTTACAGCAACATGGACAGAGTTCAAATGAACACTTAATAATTAAAAGTTTCTGAATTAATTAATTAACTAATGACTAAGTAAACTGTACACGTTGAATCATATCTTTTGATTTAACCATAGTTTGTTTGTCATTAATGATTCCTACTGATTCCTTTACGCACATTATAGTCACCAAAAAAATAGCACTATCAATTTTTATTGCTAGCAGTTACCACTACTTATCATTGAGGCTGAATCGTTGATATAACTCATTAAGGCAGCAAGTTGGAGACCTTTAGTGACTTCTATGTTTCCAAATTTTGTCAACAAAATGAGAGCTCATGATGCCATTAGTATCACAATATCACATATGGGTTTACACTCTCCATCACATCATACATTCTAATTTCCAGTTACCACTTACCTAACCAAAAAAATATACAGATCAAAAAACACCCAGGCCACACTGGAAAATAAGAACTTTGTGGAAATTTATTAATCCGGGACATGAATGATTGGCTAACTCTAAATCAAGAACCTCAGAGATAAAAATTATCGACATAGGACTCGAATGACTGAAAGCTATCAATTTAAGACCTCATTTATTAATAGATTTTGATTTTATCATATTGTCATCTCTTGAACTTGCAAAACTTTTTTTTTTATTTTTTTATTTTGGAACTATATTTGCTAGGTGGCTCGGTATTTTGTGACTTTAAATGGCAGCATATAAACACAAAATGTAGTCATTTTTTGCAGGAAAATGTCTAAGTTGCCACCATCTGGTCAAGGACTAACCAAACGTAAGCGACCAGCAACTCTAGTGCCCAGATTTGTGAGTCGTGTGCCATCACCATCTACTCAATTATTTGATTCCTCGTCAGCTACTCCACCATCATCCACTCCATCACTTGGTTCATCGCAAACTACTCCCCAAGTTGGCTCATCATCTACCAGTCCACCACGTGATTTATCACAATCGACTCCATCACCCAATACCTCCGCTCATGCCGGTACTGATACAACTGTCTCAAATAATAATTCAGAGCAACCACTACATGTTATTGGGTCTATAGGACCAATGGTCGTTTGTGCATTGGAGTTAAAAAAAGCAGTAAGTGTTAAGCTTATACAAACCTGTTATATAAATAAATTATACTTATTAATATTCATTTCTTTATTTGATAGTAATTGTTTCAAATTATATTTTTCATCATACAGATTACTTCCTTCAGAAAAATGTTCCCGAAAGATTACTTCTCTTTTCAAGGAAAGGGTTGATCCTCATGGTTACTCTTGGGCTAACTTAAGTGAAGATATAATAAAGTATTATTGGGATGAGTTTAAGGTACTTTTTCAATCATTTATCTTATACTCTATATTTTTAACTTTGAGCAATCAAGAAAAAATAATTGGCACCGAGCAATTATTATATTTTAATTGACTTATATTAAATTTACAATGAATTGTAGAAGCACTGCTATTGGAATCCTATAATAGAATCTTCAATAAAGGCAGCGTGGACTTCAAAAGCTAAACAAAGATATTCCAATTATCTCAGTAATATGAGAACAGGAAGGTGTGAGACGAATTCATCAATCACTCAAGAAGTTTGGGACAGTTGGATGAGTATGTGGAGTAGTGAAGAATATCAGAAGAAATCTAACCAAAGCAAAAAAAAAATAGGCGTCAAGGTGAATTAGAGAAGCCTGCCCCCTCTACCCATACTAGTGGGGCCATATCTCATGCCAAAGATGCTAGTGAAATTGTAAGTTTATTTAAACTATATATGCCTTGAGTATGCATTTTAATAGAATATGTGATTTGAATATATTTTATTCATTCAACATGTCCAATATTGTGATGCATATGATATTTATTGTTTGATTATTCTTACATTGTACGTTAATAATTATTATTATGTAGGAAAAGAACTCCCAAACTACAGTGACAAGTTATCAGGTTTTTGTGTATACACATACAAAGAATCACGATGGAGAGACTTTTATAAATGATCAGGCTAAAGAAGTGAATGTAAGTATTTTTGAAATTTTATTAATTTTTTAAATAATTTGCGATGCTCTTATATTAATTCAATAAAATATTATAGGAGGAATTTGTTTCATGTCGTGAGGAGCTAATTGATATTGGTGAGGAAGTGGATGATGATGAGCTGTTCTATGATGTTGTTGGTGGACCTGACTCAAAGAATAGATTGTATGGAGTTGGCTCATATAGTACACAAAATATTCATAGTAAAGCTTCAGAGTATTCTTCTGAAATGGACACTTCATCATCACAATCTACTAGTGCTGAAGTTAATCATTTGAAAGCTGAGGTGGAACGTTTGCAAAAAACTGTGGAACAACAGAAGGAATTTCAACAACAAGCGGAACAAAAGCAACAGAAAACGGATGATGTCATCCGTGCTTTACAAGAACAAATTGAAACTTTAGTTCGTAATAGATAGAGTTCTTTTTAAGATGATAGTCGGTTTTAATTAGTCATTTGATTAGTAGTATTCTTAAAGACGTATTCATTATTTGAGACATTACTATTGTTACTAGAAGGTCAAAGAGCCTATTCTTTATAGTTTAGGAATTTTTTTATTATTTGAGACAATATTAATGATATTCATCGTTGTTATGACCTAGTTGTACTGTTGTATGGTTTAAGAATATTAATTTATGTTGCCCGCAAAAAATGTATGTTGTGATTGTTTTTACAAAATATGTGCAATAGAAATTTGCAATGAGCATTTATTGCAATTCGGCCATTAACATTGCAACAAAAGTTCATTTCATTGCACTTTTGCAACGAAAATCGCAATGCAAAATAAACTTAACTATTGTTAAACCCATTGCAACTTTGCAACGTAACTTGCAACAAGGTATATGATTTGTTGCAAACAATGCAATTGAAATTGCAACTAAAGTTTCCATTGCATTATTTTGCAATGGAAAAACTCATTGCAATATTAGCAATGGAAATTGCAACAAAATAAGATTGTTGCAAAGAAAACGCAATGGAAATACATGTGTTGCTTTTATCGTTGCATATAATTGCAACGGATTGAATCAGCGTTGCAAATAATTGGAACGACGTGTATAGCAACTAAATTTTGTCCATTGCATTTGTTGTTGCAAAACACAAATTGCAACGGAAATTGAACATTTTGCAATGGAAATGTGCATTGCAATCTAGCATTTTTCTTGTAGTGTTTAAATCTTCTTGAATACAGAATTCAGTTTGAAAAAACTCTGATTTTCAAGTAACGTGATCTTCAACAAAAGAGCTTTGGTATGGCTTGATCTCCTATTAAAGGGCTTCCCGTGATATATGGCTTAATCTTCAATTGAATCTAGATTCAATATTCATATGATTATTTTCAAATCTTCAAAGATTCGTTCTTCAAATCTTCAAGTCTTCAAAACCTTGTTCTTCAGATCTTCGAATCTTCAAGTTTTGTTCTTCACATCTTCGAACGTTCTTTGAGTTTTGGACTTATTTTATCAAGAATGGACAAAATCACAAAGGATTATTCGTATGGGCTTTTCTATCGCGTTTCTTCGACTGGAATCGTTCAGAGCCTCTCAGGAGTTTTTCAGAGCTTTTTTACCGCGTTTCTTCGACGAGAAGTTCTCTCCTCCATTCTTTTCAACTGAGACCCCTATATATAGATGTGAAGGGGATGAAATATTCATTAGGGTTGCAAAAATTCGTGCATAACTCTTGGGCCTCAATTAATATGGGTTTCGGGCTCTATTTGCTTACATTTTAATAACTAGAAAAATCAGCATTTATGCAATATATCTGTATAGCTTTTTTAACAAGATTCATAGCTTTTTTTCATGCAGATAGACAGATTTCTTAACCAGATTCGTTGCTCTCTTTATCAACTAAAGTCATGTCTCATGATAGTGGGCTCAAAATAGAGAAATTAATAGGACCAGACCATTCTTTTAAAGTCTTAGATTATAATTAAATTAATCGGATATCTTAAATGACCCAAATTAATTAAATCACCGAACTTTATCCGGATCCCATATTAACATTTTTTTATAAGATGATAGCATTCACTAACAGTCCGTTAAAATCTGATGTTGGCGCAATACGTACATAAGTTTGAGAAGAGGTTCAATATCAGTTATATTACTAGACCTATTATTATTACGATTCTCTTTAACATCTTTTCTGTAACTAAAAGTAACAGTTATTAAAAAGCTTACAAAAGTATCTTTTCAGCTAGTTGAGTCAAACATATCATAGTTGGGAGTACAATGGATAAGGTGAATGTAAGCTTACAAGTATCTTGTCTCAACTCTAAACCCAGTAATTCAACACATTTGAGATGCTATCCAAGACTAGTTTCATTTTTATTTCTTCTGAATGCCAAAATTTTCTCATCTAATTAATGAATACCAACAAGTACACAAAGTTGCCTTGTTTAATGTTTATATCTGGTCTCGTTTGCAAAAATGCATTTAAACCCATCATTGTTACTTGAGCCAAATAGCTAAACATTTAAATACTGGGCAATACATAAATATGTGCTGTCAATTGACTTATTGGAAATCAGGAGAAGAGAATCACACGTTCTTTTTTAGGTAAGAAACCACACGTTCACGTGTGTGTATTTCATGTTTTTAGAGAATGAGATGGGGAGGATCCACGAAACAAATTTCAAAAATTTACGAGATTCTCAATTCCCCATAAACAGTTTTCCGAAATGGCTGGGGCTACTTTTTGATTGCTTATATTCATCCATCTATCTTTATTATCTACTAATAATAAATCAAACAATTTTAAATCAAACATTTCCACTCTTAATTCAAACGTATATTTTCTCAACTTTTTCCCATCCTACATGTATCATATAAAATAAAATATACGTAGTATATAATTAAGATAAGTGGGTAATCTGATTCAAGACATATGTTGGTAGAAAATAACTTGAGTAGAGAAACCGGCAACAATTCGATATCTTAAAAGTGACCTCCTTAATACAAAGAGTGGACGGTTAAATGAACTTGCTAGAGAAAGGAGAGAGGAGGCTTCTGATACCAAATTGGAACAATATATTTTGGGGAAAAATATTCCTTGCTTTATTAATTAGGCCAATGGCCATGCTATATATACATGGATGTCAGTACCGAAGCCATGCAAAGCTAACGGATGTAATCCCAAAATGTAAGCCTAGGATTATGCTAACTATAAATAGATATGACGTATCTAGCTACAATTTGGACTAGGTGCAATGATAAAAATAATAGGTAAGAAATAATATAATTAATAACAAATAAATGATTTATCCAGTAGCATTAGTAGGCTACGGTTAATTCGCCCCCGCAGTTGATACGTGAGGAGGCAACCGAACGTGGAGACTGGACCGGAAATCTTCAAATAAGATGTGTGGCAAGCCTTTGGTGAATATGTCCGCGAATTGATGACGAGTGGGGACATGTAGTATACGTACCTCCCCACGAGCCACTTTTTCCCGAAAAAAGTGAATGTCGATCTCAATGTGCTTGTCCGTTGGTGTTGGATCGGGTTGCCCGCCATGTACATGGCACTAATATTATCACAATACACAATAGATGCTTTGGTAGGAGGGGAGTGTAGCTCAAGAAGAAGGTTACGAATCCAGCATAACTCGGCGACAACGTTTGCAACATCACGGTACTCGGCGTCGACGCTAGTGCGAAAGACGGTGGTTTGGCGCTTGGAGGACCAAGATAGGACGTTGTCACCTAAGAAAACACAGTAGCCGGATGTGGATCGTCATGTGTCGGGGAAGCCACCCCAATCGGCGTCGGTGTATGCAGTGAGGGAGTGAGTCGGGGATCGATGGAGATGAAAACCGAGATGGGTAGTACCACATATGTAACGAATAATTCGTTTGAGGGCATGAAGATGGGGCTCCCGTGGGTCATGCATAAACAAAAAAAAATTGGTGGACGACGTAGGAGATATCGGGTCGGGTAAAGGTGAGATATTGCAAAGCACTGGCAAGGCTACGGTAGAGGGTAGCACCTCGGGGCTGGCTGTAGCGCTAAGTTTTGCATTGGAGTCTACTGGGGTAGCATCGGGTTGCACTGGTCCATTCCCGCACGGCTAATAATGTCAAGAGCATATTTCTCTTGGGATAAAAAGAGGCCGTTGGGCAGTGTGGTGACTGAGATGCCCAAGAAAAATGAGAGATGTCTGAAGTCAGTCATGGCAAACTCATGATGAAGCTGAGATAAAATGTTTCGTCCACATAAAATAAAATAAATGCGGTGCCTTGATTGCCTCGAAGGATGAATAAGGAGTGATCACATTTGCTATGGACAAAGGCGAGTGGCTACATACATGGCAAAACGTTGGTACCAAGCCCGGGGGGCTTGTTTTAAGCCATAAAGAGATTTGAGGAGACGGCAAACATGGTGCGGCCGAGAGGAGTCACGGTAGCCGGGTGGTTGGTGCATGTAGACGGTTTCCTCAAGATGGCCATGGAGAAATGCATTCTTAACATCTAATTGGTGCAGAGGCCAAGAATGGGAGAGAGCAATGCTAAGCACCGTGCGGATGGTAGCGGGTTTGACCACCGGGCAAAAAGTCTTATCACAGTCAACACCGATTTGTTGAGAGTTGCCATTAACCACTAGCCGCTCTTTGTGACGTTCAAGGGAGCCGTCAGACCTGTATTTATGCTTAAACAACCACATACAACGAATAATGTTAGTTTCTGGAGGCCGGGGAACCAACTCCCACGTCCCATGTTCAATAAGTGCACTAAATTCATCATCCATGGCGGCTTTCCAGTGCGGGTCACGGAGGGCGGTGATGGGATTGTTGGGTATGGGGGATGGTTGGATTGTGGCCGAGAGGTTGAGTATAGTTCTGGGTTTGAATATGTCAGCTTTGGCCCGAGTGACTATGGGGTGAGGGGCAGGGGCTGGTTGGGCAGGGGGATGTGGTGTGGGCTGTGGAAAACTAGGGGATGGGAGTTGGTATTGAGAGTGCGAGGAGTTTGGTTTGCCGAAGTGGTGTCGGCTGGGGAGTGAAATGGGTTGGTCGGTGGGGGGAAAATTGGAGGGTTGGAGGGAGGATTTCCCGCTGCCGAAGGCGTGGGTATGGAGTTAGTGTCCGTACGGGGAAGTTCAGACGTGTGCACGGGCCATGCATGGGGATCCGGTGGTATGGTGAGACGAGGGTGTATATGATTATGGGATTGTGTGACTGAAATGGGTTGAGAGCAGTGAGGATGACAAGGGAAAAACGCCTCGTTGAAAATGACATGGCGGGAAATTATGATTTTGTGAGAAGAGAGATTCATACAAATGTACACTTTATGGTTATCCGGACACCCTAAAAATATGCAAGGCTCGGACCGGGGTTGGAGTTTGTGAATGGTGGAAGAGGGGGTGTGTGGGAAACATAGGCATCCGAAGAACGGGAGATGGGTGTATGTGGGTATTTTATTGTATAAAAAGAGGGTAGGGGTGTGAAAATTTAGTGTTTGAGAGGGTAGAATATTGTGGAGGTAAGTGGCCATTTTAATAGCATAGGGCCATAATTTTAGGGGTAGAGAGGCATGAATTAAAAGTGTACGCGCCACATGTGTGCTTGAATTAAAAGTGTAAGCGCCTTGTTCTGAACATTCTCAGCTTT